GGAACTCACCGCCGAGTTCATGTTGTGGGGCAGGAAGGCGGCAGCCACCGCCGCCTGGGCGTTGAAATACGCCATCCTGCTCGCCGTCAAGTTATTCGCGGCTGCAGCCATCGACATGTGGTGATGGTGCAGACCTGATGCGGGGTCTGCAGCAGACGATGTGGAGAAACAAGACGTCGGAGGGAGGACCCTCTGATGCTGAGAGTTGGCACTGCCGATGCCGTAATTGTTGGCCGAGAGTCCGTTACCGTTACTGCCATTGTTAGGCGTTATGGCGGAAATCCCTGCTGTAGGACTGCGATGCTGGTGGTGATGCTGATGGTGAATCTGGTTGCTGTGGTGATGGTGGTGAGATGTAGCCGCAGTAGAATCCCCAAGACCCAAGAGCTCCTGAATTGCAAACGGCGATCTCTGAGGCATTGTCCCAGCTGATGAGTTAGTTCTTGTAATTTGTGTAGAATTATTGTTGTGGGGAGTCCTTACTGTTGCAGACACAGGGCCTCCCAAAACACTAGGGGCGGTCACGTGTATTGTAGTGCCGCCTACATTCATAATCTTGAACTAGGAGAGCATGTTTCGCCTTCAATTGCAAATTCCCTGGCTTCTTCTTGGTATGAGCCTCACTGAAGCCTCTTCATTGACAGATGACAATAATGAAACTTTGTAACAGGTTGGCGCCTCATGTAGTCATACTGAAAATCTAATTTTTAACTTTAAATTAGAAGACTACAGACATTCTCGTTGTAAATCGTCAATGTGAACTTCATTTCGTTGTCCTAAATGGTTAGTGTAACGTACCGTGCCTATAAAACTACGTTCAAAATTCGTTTTCTGGTATAGGATTTATGTTACCGGAAATTGACATTCTTCCCCTGTTTTAATACACACCGGAGTTCAGAATCATTTATTTCCATATCAAAATGTTTACTGGCCTAATTCTAAAATAAGTGGAATTTTTTATTGTTTAATGAAGACTTATTTCGTTGCTCGGATAGTTTATAAATAGGAGCAAAAGTTCGTTGAATGTGGTTACAACAGAATTTCACAGAATAAAAATTTACGTTTCATGCACGAACATTTTGATTCCTGGCTTCATATCCACTTGATTACATTTCTTCTGTGAAAGATCAAACGACAGAATATTGAGCAAAATCTGCTTCTCTAATGTTACATTTTTATATTTAAACACAATCTCTGTCTCTTCTTTGAAGTTTACGTACACGATTTACTGTTGTTCTGGAGCATTGTAGGTTCGTTTCTAACATGTCCAGCGTTACAGTTTTCTCGAAATACTGTTTCGTTATAAATATTTCCATCACTTCACTTCAGCACAATATTTACAACACGTCTCATTTATTTCGTTCCTTGTTGCCTTGGCGTGAGTCCATATTAAAGATGATTGCGCTGTAACTCGTGGTAGGAACAAAACAAATCACAGTACAAACAAACCGCGTCCCGATTCTGTTCGCACTGGAGTGCGTGCAGTGAGTGATGGGTGTGTTGATACTTGTAGGTAGGAGGATTCTGAATCTACTGACAAACTGGTCCAGCAGTGGTGGGGAAAAACACTGGAACTGGTTCAGTACCACCTGCTCGAAAGGACGAAAACTGGCCGGACTCCCTCAGATTGGCGGATTTTTTTTTAAAAAAGTGGGAGGTTTGACAAGACGATGAATATAAGCCCCCTACTAAAACGTACACTAGAATGCTTCTTTCTGCACTGCTACTACGACTACTGGGTTTTGTATCCCTCCCTTAATTTTCTGTCCCCGTTTCAACCCCCCGCACATCATCTGGGGTCTGCTTCATAGTATTAGCCATTGTCGACGCGTGACTTTCCCCCCTCCGTCTCCCAACAGCCAACGAAAAAATGTAGAAATTGCACCTCTAGCTCACGAAAGGGGAGGAGATAAAAATGAGAGAATAAAGGGGCGTGGTATGAATCAGCCAATAAGAAAACTCGACTTCCAACTTGATTGGCAGCACAAACGGTCGATTAGACCGCCTACCAAAGTCTCTACTCTTTGCTACAACAAGCCATTTTGAACCTTAAGGACCCAGATGGAGGTCTTACATTCCCGTGCTTCCATACGCCTTCTGGGGCCCCTAGTTTGCTTCCTTGATTTCGGTGAGTAGCGATGAGAAATATCGGATTTTGACCCACCAGTAGTGGCCTGTATAGGCTAGCTTGTTTTCAGCATCCCTCGCTTGATCTTTGTAGAGATGCCGTACAATATTCCTAACGAGAAGTCAGGCGGTGGGGTGGCCACGATCACAAGGCTTCAAACTTAAACGCTTTCTTATTTGTCAATCATAATTTATTAATTAATTATATTCAGGAGCCGGGATAGCTCAGTCAGTATAGCGACTAGCTACGGGCTGGACGACCGGGGTTCGATCCCCGACGGGGGCAGAGGATTTTTCCTCTAGCCTCTGCGTGCAGACCGGCTCTGGGGCCCCCC